TTAATCAGGTCTCATCAGACGCTGAATATCAGATATTTTAAACAAGTGTTTCACAGTAAAAGCCAAACTTTAGAGTGCTTTTAATTTGAAAATGTCACAGCATGTGTAGTGTTTGTGTAAACCGCTGATGTAGGAAGAGAGCAGGTGATCCGTTGCTTCTCCAGCGGCGCCGGTGTGACGGCGTTCGCCTGGATTTCAGCACCTGTACACGTGTCACTCTCGAGTCTCACCTGCTTCGCCGCCTTCTTCGCTTCTCGCTTCCTCTGGTTCTTCAGAGCAGACTTAGAGAGACTCTTCTCTCCCGACGCTCCGGGACGAAGGTCCTGAGGCGGCTCGTCCTCGTGCTGACAGGAAGAGACGGATGAGGTTACCATAACGACGACTCCTGCATAAATAGACCAGAGAGCCGTCGTCATCTTACCAGTTTGGAGCTGGGCGTGGCGGGCAGGTGTCTCAGTGCAGGAGGCCGGTACGCCTGTGTGGGCGGGGCCTGTGTGGACCCCAGCTGGCTGGGCGCCGCCTGGTACTTGATTGGTCGCTCGGGGAAGCTGCCGTCGGGGAGCGACTGCCAGCGCACCTCCCACAGCTCCGAGCCGGCCGCCACGTCCCATTGCTGAAGCACGGCGCCGGCGTAGTGCCAGATCTTATAACCGTTACTGACCCGCAGCCGAGGAGAGCAGGTCGCCGTGACGATATGCTCGCCATCGGGACACCAGGAGAAATGAGTGGCGTCCGGCGCCTGAGGTTTGGACACCTTGGACGAGACAGGTGAGACTAGTGAAGCCAAACACGATGGCGATGGCGTTTAAAGACAAACCGACGGACGAGACGGCGTTTGATGAAATCACTGATTCTTCAGCTCACTGAGGGCTGCGTTTGAGAAATCGATTTGATTCATTGAATCCTGAATGATTTTTACAGATAAATTTTATCAGAAACGTCAGAATCTCAGGTTGAAGCTGAAACGATTAAAGTGAAACGTGGAGACAGAGCGTGGAGCGTCCACAGACGGCGCTGAGAGTCGACCGCTCACAGATCCTGAAGCTGCAGGTTTCGTCACTCTGACCCAAACTGACTGAACCAGCAGCAGAAGATCAAACTACGCTTCACGTTTGATCAACATGCTCATGAACTCTGACCCTGGCTCCTGCACAGCTCTCTCTCTCTCTGAGGCCAGTTCACCATCAAATCTGTTTATCAGCCAGCAGCTGCTGCTGTGCTCAGCGCTGTCGCCTCTGACAGCAAAGCCTCGTCTCTGCTGCTCAAACTGAACAAATGGAAACTTTTACTGCTCAGCTGTGTCTGTAATCAAACCTCTGTGACTCTGCTTCAGCATCAGGTCATGTTCACATTTGATTCATGGTTTGCTCCAGTTTCTGATCGACTGCAGAACATTTTTAAGGTTATTTGCTATAAAAAGGCAGAACAGGAAAAGCTGCTTCATGTTTCTTTTTGAGCCTCAGAGGTTTCGAGGGCTCTTTAAACAGCATCTAAATGATCAGAATGATATTATTTCTGACAGTCTGATCAAAAATGAGCTGAACTGAATCAGTGATGATACGAGCTGTAAATAAGAGCATCGCTTTGACGTGTGATAACAGAAACACACGAAACAATGAAACTGTGATGATACAGTTACAATAAAAAAGCTTCAGTAACAGTTAGGGCTGCTCAATTAATCAAATTTAAATCTCGATCATGATCTGGGCTTTCAACGATCATTAAAAATGACTG